CTCGGTTAACGAACTCAATCCGTTCCAGAAGGTCGTTCGTTAACCGAAACCATTGTTTCAATGGGTTTTTGGGTAATTGGTTCCAGCTCACCGAAAATTTCCTAAATTCAACAAAAATGGTAGAAAGTTCACTTACTTTGAGGTGTGCATGTAGAAGGCTCCTGGATGATAATGATGATGATGGGATTTAGAATGGGGGTGGAGGAGAAGGAAGAAGAGAAGGCATTGGGGTGGAAGAGAAGTCACCCCGTGGTGCCCTTTCACCCATAAAATTTTAGCTCTCTGGTTTAATTCAAGATTATTTTCTTTAAATCAACGCTGCACTGCATTATATATTGTCAATATATAAAATATATTTCAAAATGACCAATAATTTGCTTGGAAACACAGAAAAAAAGCGTTTAGTTGAAGAGAGTCTCAAGCAAGATGTTACCTCCAGTGAAAACAAAGAGAGACTGACGCCTGTTTGCTGTATTAAGAGGCTGGATGCCGCGCATTAAACTTGTCACTTTACCTTCAATTTTGTTCAATAATTGTTAAAATGACTAAAAAATTGAATATTAAACTTTTAAAATTATTGAATAGTATAAACTTCTTGATATTTACAAAAATAGTAAGGAATTTAAGCCCTAGAACCGATTAATGTATTGGCGGACTGATACTAAAGCTGGCTGCCCGGTCAGTGCAAGCGAAAACATGTTGAGGTCGGTTCGTAAGAAGTTCGTTAAGCGAATTTTTTTTCGTTAACCGAATTGAAGATCCTTATGGAAGGCAGTTCGTTAATCGAAATTACGTTAACCGAGGTGTTCGTTAAACGAGGGTCTGTATTTAGTTTAAAGTGTAAAGATTTAACTTTTTATTTCACATTTTTCAGTCACTCAGTTTTTCCATATCTGTGACAATTAATATTTTTATCCTTCTGTTTATTAGTGTCAATCTCTGTCTACCAGTCTTCCTATCCCTATTTATTAATTCTATCCCTACATCTGTTAGTCTATCCACCAGTTTGTTATATGCCTCAAAAATTTTATAATATTGTTGAGAGTTCAGAATATTGGTGTTTCAATGGATGTAATTTATACGTTGAAACCAAACATTGCAGGACGCCACGCCCCTGACCCTCGGCCAAGAGTTTGGAGGTTATGCTCAACAGATAGAGTTTGGCATCGAACGGGTCAAGGTTTGTCTCCCTCGTGTGTACATGCTGGCAGCGGGTGGCACGGCTGTAGGTACAGGTCTCAACACCAGGATCGGTTTTGCTGAGAAAATTGCTGCCAAGGTAAATGCTCTATAATTTGGTCACCTTGTATTATAGCAGGAAAAGCCTTGAATAAGTAAAAGAAAAAATAGTAGCTAATAATTTGCCTTACAACTTAATCTATTTCATAATTTATCATTTACACCACTGATCAGCATAGTAGTACTATTCCTTGTTACTTTGTTATAACCTTCATTGCCCAATATTAGTGAGGAGGAAACCAGAGTATCCAGAGAATACCTGCCATGTTTGGTAATGTCACATTGCCAAACATTGCTGGTTCTTGTCTGGGTACTTGATTTCATTTCTCTTTGTTTTTGGTCAGTTTACTAGCCTGTCAAGCAGTTGGTCATATCTCTTGAGGAACAAACATGCAAATTGTGTATTATGCTAATTCAACATTGATTCAAATATTGTGTTCACAGTTGGTTATATTTATGTACAGTAGTATATTGTACTGTGCTTGTGAAAATGATAAAGAGAAAAGAAGATAATATTTATCTTCTCGTACTGTTCAAACATATTGCAGGCTCTAATCTGTGTCCAAAATTGAAATTGCAGGTATCAGAACTTACTGGCCTGCCTTTTGTGACTGCCCCTAACAAATTTGAAGCCTTGGCAGCTCACGATGCCATGGTTGAGGTCTCTGGTGCACTGAATGTGTTGGCTTGTTCCATCATGAAAATTGCCAATGATATCAGGTTCCTTGCCTCAGGTCCTCGATGTGGCCTGGGAGAGATCTCACTCCCAGAGAATGAACCTGGCTCCTCCATCATGCCTGGTGAGTCATCCTTAAGGAACACATTGAGATTTGTTTTAATTTATGGGGAATAGCCCACCCGGGCACAGGTCATTGACCACAACAGGGCCTAGGGGGCAAAAAAATAAGAATAGAAAGAAATTAAAAATAGAAAAGGAAAAGGTTATATTAATCTTCACCACGAATATGCCGGAAAACCAACTTTTTAAAGTGAGACAGATTGTTTGAGTGTGGAAACACAGAAGAAGGCAGAGAATTCCACAGTTTGGCTATGTGAGGAAAGAAGGAGGTACTATAACGGGCCATCCTCTTGTGACCGACATCCACAGAGAAACGGTGGGCACCGCGGGCAAGACGTGTGTTACAAGCCCACGGCCTTGCTGGCGGTACACAGGATGCCAAATCCACCGAACATTGCCCGTTAAAGTACCTGTAAAAGGGAGAGAGTGAAGCAACATTGCGGCGAAGAGAAAGGGAAGAGAGATTGTCAACTAAAGGAGGAGAGTTAATAAGACGAAATGCCTTTGATTCCACCCTGTCTGGCAGTTGGACAGAAGAAGAGCCACCCCAGATATGAGAGCAGTACTCCAAGTTAGGACGAATGAATCCCTTAAATACTTGGAGCAACTGCTAAGGAGTGAAGTAGCTGCGACATCTGTACAGCATTCCCAGCTTTCGGGAGGCAGCTTTAGCAATGTTGAGGATGTGTGGCTTCCATAACATATTAGAGGAAATGGTGAGGCCTAGCATATCTATTTTAGAATTTGGCAGAATAATTGCATCCTGAAATATGATTGGTGGGAGATCATCTAATTTGGAAAGTGTAATTGGTAAATATGTACTGAGTTTTATTACTATTGAATTAACCAAGTTTCTACCTCCTCATACGGAGATGCTGCACAGAGCCGTATTGATAGATGTAATGATATCAGCTCTAGAAACAGATCTAGTTTGAGAGGTAGGGGGAAGGGGAAAATGTGAAGAAGAGTGAAGAGTAGAATTATCAGCATAAGAATGGATAGAATTAGTTGCAGTGTGAAGTAAATTATTGATAAAAAGAAGGAAGAGAGTAGGTGAAAGAACAGAACCCTGTGGGACACCACTATTGGTAGAGAAAGAGCGAGAGATCGATCCCTTGACAACAACTGCCATGGATCAGTTCTTAAGGAAGCTAGAAATTAGAGAACAAAGTGGGGGAGAGAAACCATAAGAGGGAAGTTTAGATAGCAAAGACTTGTGCCATACCCTGTCAAATGGTTTGGAGATGTCGAGGGCCACGACGAAAGTTTCTTCATAATCCCTAAGGGAGGATGACCAAAGATGGGTGCAGTAGGAGAGCAGATCACCAGTAGATCTCGCCTGGCGAAAGCTATACGGGTGATCCGACAAAAGAGAATGGTGTTGTAGGTGACAGAGAGGGATGAAGTTAGGGCAATGGGACAATAGTTAGAGGGATTAGAATGGTCACCCTTCTTTGGGATGGACTGAACCAAGGCATGCTTCCAAGAAGGAAAAATTTAGGTTTTGAGGCAAAAGCAAAAGATGCGAGCAAGCACAGGAGCCAGAACTTCAGCACACTCCCTCAGAACATGAGGAGGTATTCCGTCCGGTCCATGCTCCTTACTCACATCCAACCTGGATAACACACCAGCAGCCCTACGAGTGGAGATTATAGGAAAGTGCATAGGTTCAGTAGGAGGAGCAGGAGTAGGAGTCGTCTAAGGTGGAGTTAGAGGAGAATAAGGTGCCAAAGATTGACTTTGTCAGGGGGAGAGTTGGCTATAGGGTTATCAGGTCGGAAAAGAGGGAGTGCAGAAGTTATTACAGATGTTTTTGGTGATGGACCAGAAGGATTTACTATAGGAAGAATTAGTCAGGACAGCGGTCTTTCTTTTTATAAAATTCCGCTTGGCCCTACGAAGAATAGCCTTGCAACGATTCCTAGAAGTAATGAAAGAGGAGTGGGTAATAATAGGAGGAGGAGATAGTTTCATAGCTTGATACACCCTATCTCTCTCCCTACATGCAAGAGAAAAGGAGCGATCAAACCATGATTGTAAAGTGAAAGTTTTGGTAGATGGGATAAATGCACTCATACCACCCAGTATAACCCCAGCAATGCTCTCAGCACATACCAAGGCATCCTGAGTGGAAAAGCAACATTCATCCCAAGGAAAGTCAGTGAAGAATTCTCGCAAGGATTGCCAGTTTGCCCTCCGATAGTGCAATAGTTGATGTTTAGAGGGGGGTGGGGGAGGTGGTCGTGCCCAGTTTGATTTAATAGAAATAAGATTGTGATCAGAAGACCCTAAGGGGGGAGAAATTGAGTGAATAGTGTGAGGGGTGAGAGGTAAAACAGAGATCAAGAATGTTGGCAAGTTGATCATGTCGATCTGGAACACGTGTAGGGTGTTTAATTACTTGTTCCAGATCATTATGGAAAAGGAGAGTGCCTCAGCTCCACCTGGGTCATCCCTTGCAGAGCCAAGCCACTCTCTGTGATGTACATTAAAATCCCCTAGTTAGAGGATCTCGGTATTGGGGTGGGTGGATAGCAACGACTCATGGCAAGAAGTGAGATAGTCAGAGTTCCAAATAGTTGGTAGAGTTGGGAGAACAGTATAGGAAACAAAAGAAGAATAGTCATAGCTGCTTTATGCTGATCACCCATGCACTCTAGAATTATATTTTTGTTCATAGAGATGTTTACTGGTGCTGTTTTGATGAAACAATATTTGAAAAATAATTAATTTGTTTACTCCTAGCTTTTCAATGGTTATTTCTTCTGCTGGTGCCTTACCATTGTGTGGAGTTTGCTTGCATATCTTACCTCCTCCCTTGTTACCTGTTCTTCTTTGCCTTGACTGTTTAATATATAACGTATCTTAAATTAGATACAGTAAGTCTGCTGTCCTATTTGTTTCATTCAGCAGTTTTTCAAGATAGTTCCATCTCCCCTTTTTGCTTCATCGTGTTTCTGCAGTTTTTCCCATCTTTCTTCTTAACTATCATTGCCATTTGTTTTCCTTTCTTTATTCACCCTATTAATATCCTCCAGAGGATCTTGGTCTTTAATACCTTGTGATAATCTTTCTTCTCATCTTTCAGCTTCTTTGGGATAATTATGTAATAATGTCTCACCTCATTCAATTCCAGGTAAGGTGAACCCAACTCAGTGTGAGGCGATCACTATGGTTGCAGCCCAGGTGATGGGGAACCACGTTGCCGTCACTGTCGGTGGCTCCAACGGTCACTTTGAATTGAATGTCTTCAAGCCCATGATGGTTGCCAATGTCCTAAGGTACAACACACAGTAGTCAATACAGGAGGCAGGTCTTCGTTATAAGAGTATTCACTATCCGTGGTTTCGCAGTTAAGTGGTAAACTTTTTGTGACCATCAACGTGAAAAGTCCCCACATTTAAGTGGACTCCACCCAAAAGCTCTGAAAACTCCCGATAAAATCTACGGATTTTTTGCTGAAGCGTTTGAAAGTTCATCCTCTTTTAGGCGTCGTGCATGCACTCACGTGTCTTCGCTCCAGTCTCCCTCATTGTTTCGTCCAGACCAGTGTTGTGTTGTGTTTATTCCTGCCTTTGTTGTGTCTTTTTGTGCATGTTGTGGTGAATTATTTTATAATTTTTGTTGCCATGAGTTCCCAACCCAAACAGGGCGGAGTGCTTAAAAGGAAGCACTAGCCATAGTATAGATGTAAAATTAGAAGTGATTTGGCGAAAGAAGAGTGGGAGTGGACAATCCACCTTTTTCATCCTCCAACTAATCCTCCATCCTCCAACTAATCCTCCATCCCCCAACTAATCCTCCATCCCCCAACTAATCCTCCATCCCCTAACACCCACCTCCATCAATCCAATCAAGACTTTGAAGCCAAGTAAATAAAAATATTTTATTATGTTAAAAAAATTTATTTTTAAATCATTATAATAAATATTTTGTCTCAATGAACCATTGGAGTAAGTGTGCACCGGCAACGATTGTTTGGACCACTGGGTCGCTGGCACAATGTACGTTGCCTCAACACACAGACACCAATGAACTTTAAGGACGTTAGATAACTTATAAAGTTAAATAATTTCTTAAAATAATGTGTTATCAAATGTTTAACAAATGTTTCTAAGATAAATAATTGTTAAGATACACCTTTTCACATATCCGTTGAGACATTGTTACATAACTATTTGACAAATTTTATAACCGAATGACAACACATATCGAATGACAATCTAAAATAACTGTTGGTGGTATGTCATTCTCCAATTGTTACATTCTCAAACTATATGTAGACTGTCGGTTTATTGTTCACGTCTGTCAACTTCATAACTTATGTCAATCACTTCCGTTAGCATGAACGAACAGCTATTTTAGATTGTCATTCGATATGTGTTCTGTCATTTGGTTATGAAATTTGTCAAATAGTTATGTAACAATGTCTCAACGGATATGTGAAAAGGTGTATTGTAAATTTTTTTTGTGTCGTGTACAATCATGGTTCCAATTTGACCTATTTCCATTATTTCTTATGGGATTAATTCCTTGCTCTAAGTGGATTCGTTATCAGAGGCGTTTTTCCGGTCCCAATTAACCGCAGATAACAAGGACCCCCTGTATTGAATATATACTTTGTCTTCAGATTTCCACCATTTTGACACCTTCTTTAATAAAGGGAGATCATTACTATTAAAGATTTTTTTGTGGTTGCATAATTGTACTGTAATACAGAAGAAATTTTTCAGTTTGGTCAGGTAAAAGATTTCATAAATTTATTGCAGGTAAGGATTGCCAAGAACATGTGAACCAGTGAACTGTTAAAACATACCATACATATTCACATCATAGGTTTTTAGAGTGTGCTATGTGCAGATATACAGTACACATTATATCCAGCACATTGTGTGTACTTTTTTAAGGCAATGACTACTTGAAAATAGTGGGATATGACCTTAAATGATACTGTCCATAACGCATGGTCAATAGTGCTGTATTGGTCTGAGTGATCTAAACTTTAAATATCTTGGTTTTAGCCCAAGACCTATCCCTGCATTTGTGGGCCATAAAACATCTGTTCCAAGATGTTTTGGTGATATTGGAGTAAAGCTGATTGGTGTATTACATGAACTTTAAGCAGATAATAGTACAAAAAATTAAAACATCTGCACCTTATTGAAGTAATTTTTTTGTTATTATTATTATTGTTGTTTTTATTATTTATTATTTTTTCCAGGTCCATTCGGCTCATTGGGGACAGTTGTCATGCCTTTGTTAACAACTGTGTAGTGGGCATTGAGGCTAACCGTGAGCAGATCAACAAGCTTCTGCATGAAAGTCTTATGCTTGTCACTGCCCTCAACCCACATATTGGATACGACAAGGTACCATGACTCATTTTGTCAGTACAGTCAGTTCTGCTATAACGCGATAGTTGTGTTCTTGTAAAACATCGTGTTATAGAAATTCGCGTAATAGAAATAACAGGGCTTATGGAGAAAATAGGGTTAGGTGCAGATTACTCCAAATCGGAAAAAAATTTCGAAGTTAGCCTAACAGTCTAAGTAAATGTTACATTCATATCTAATAATGAAATCATACAGTAAATGTTACACTTTACCTTGAAAAACTATGAAAATAACTTGATGGGGGAGAAGGTTGATGTTGAGTCATGCAGACAGGATTTGACAGTTGTCATCGTCATCAACAGTATCATCATCATCAGGTGCAGTTTTTCTTTAGGTCCTCATATATTGATAAGGCCTTCTCTTTAATGGTGAGGAAGCTGGTCCCAGATCGCTTTTCATTTGATCTTCTATCCAAACACTTAGAAGCCATTCCAACTCCTCAAGTTCCTTTGGCCTTGATCTCACACTTTTGCTAGCACTCAAGGTTTTTCCAGCAATACAGCTTGCTTTAATCTTTGCTGCATTGTCTCTAATGGTGCGTAAAGTAGACTCCTTTATTCCCGTTGCACGCACAATATCACAAGTTCTTTCCTTATTTTCAAAACAATTGACAACATCAAGCTTTTCTTCAAGTGTTATAGCCTTTCTTTTACTATCACCACCGGAAATGCGATCACCAGAATGCTTCCCGGAGATATTCTTCTTTTCCATAGTCACAAAATTGGAGAAACAGTACCGTAATCAGAATTCACTGAGGACGCTTAAAAACTTCACACGTGTTTCAAACTGAACGTGTGGAATAAACAGAGCGCGCGGGTCTAAAACGCTATGTATTTTGTTTTTCTCTCTAATTTAAAATTTTACAATTTACACATACTGTACAGGTATACTGTATACATAAATATTACATGAATTATTTCTGCAATTGTTCACAAACAAAACACATAAATCAATTGAACATGTGATGTCGAACGTGAACTGTAAACACTGCATAACCCCGCGCCAAGCCACAACACTTTAAACGCTACGTATTTAGTTTTCCCTTTTATTTAAATTTTTACAATTTACATACAGTATATATATGTAAATTGTAATTTACATATTATTCATATTATGCTACAGCGCCCACAAAACATGAGAAACGTTTGAGTCCCCCAGTAGAGATGTCCGTTCTCTATCCACTTCAGGATGTCTTAGTCCTTCGTTTTCTTTTTGTGTACTCGCTCAGGGACTCAAGTATTTCTGTATAACACAGGATGATAAGGGAATTTTAAATTATTTGTTTATTTATTTATATATAATATACTGTAATATATTAAATATACTGCAAGTATTTTCTTTTAATTTATATAATGTATTTCACATTAAAAGGAGCTACATTTATGGTGATCCTTAAGGACCAAACTCCGAATCCATGACGTGACTTCTGTTCATCATTTATATCCCAAATTTACCACTGTTGGTAGTTTCAAGAATTAACGCAGTCATTTACTGAATATTCTTTGTAAAAAAATAAATTTTAAATGAATTATTTATAGGAGATAAGTATTATGATCAGTAAATATACAGATATGCATTACTGACCACCTCGAACACAAGGATGGCTAAAAATAGCCACAGGCGGTCACAGTCAAGGTCATTTTCCCTTTCTTGTCACTGGCAAATGGGGTGGGGGGTGATGATAGCAGCTGTGTTTATTACCAGGGTATATTGTTCTTTTACGGTATGTTAGACTGGTTTTAATACATTTTTATTATTTTAATATACCGGTAATCTTCATTTTAATCCAGCTTCCCAAACGTAAGTTTCAGTATAAAATAATGAAGTGTACTGTAGGACCTTGTGAGTGGTTTACTGTATACATAAATATTACATAAATTATTTCTGCATTCTTCACAAACAAAACACAAATCAATTGAATATGTGATGTCAAACGTGAACTGTAAACACTGTGTGTGATGTAAAGAGAGCGCTGGTGTAAAACGCTATGTAATTTGATTTTCTCTTTTATTTAAAATTTTACAATTTACTTATAATATATAGGTATACTGTATACATAAATATTACATACATTATTTCTGCAATTGTTCACAAACAAAACACATAACTCAATTGAACATGTGATGTCGAACGTGAACTGAAGCCATAACAACCGTTCGAGTGGAATAGCGTTAGAGCAAACGAGTTCGCGTTTTACAAATATCGTTCCTCAATTCATAAATCGCGTTAGAGCAAATTCGCGTTGTCAAAACACGCGTTATAGCAGAACTCACTGTACAGTATAGTCTCGGTTTACGCGGATTTTTTATACGCGGTTGGTCATTTACGCGGCACCTGTCCAGGCGTGCCAATTATTAGTTACGCAGTACATTCCTGAATTTACGCGGGAAGCGGCGCGGACAAGCTGCGCGCTTGGTCGCTTTTACGTCACCGCTGACGTCAGATGACATTTCGGACTGTGATTGGGCCACGCATCCTTACCACCCACGCATCCCCTCCGCCGCGAGCTGTGATTGGTCTATTTAGCCTTGCTTGCCCAGTCAACAAAACATTACCGAGTTCTTCACCCGCCACCCACCACAGCCAGCCCAAGTCAGTGATAGTGAGGATATGGACTTAGAGGGGTTTGACAAGGAGGCCCTGCTAGCCTCTGTGGTGGATAGTGATACAGGTGATACAGGTGAGGGCCAATAATCTGCCCTGTGCCTCGGAACCAACCCCCAATCCCCGTGTGCCCAGCCAACTCTTCTACTAACGTAAGTGTTAAAAAACCTAATATTATTGATATTTCTCTTAAATATTAATTGTGTGCATACCATCATAAAATTAAGATGTTATTTTTACTACAGCGTACGTATTGTGTCGGAAAAAGGGTAGTCTGGGGGTTGGCCCAGTCTCTATTTCAATTAATCCCATATGCTCTGTTATTTCGTTTACGCGTTTCGCGTTATACGCGGACCTCCATGGGTTTAATTGACCGTGTAAAACGAGACTATACTGTACAGTCGCCCTTAACATAATGCTGAATAGAAGTATACACGATTTGCAAATACGCTGACTGCCCCAAGGAGGAATATTCTTGCACATTGAAGTAATTGAAGTACATTCAAATCACACATTCAACTTCACAAGTAACTCAACACAAGACACCGCCCGCTAGCGCAACCCTCACACACACACGCATAGCCTCCTCACTCAGTCAGTCTCACAACCACGCCAGTTGACATCAGCATTGTAGTTTAAAAATATTTCATTTCTGTGAATGTATTATATCAAGCACAGTATGAATAGAATATCACTTCAATATAACAGTATTTTAACCGAAAACTATTAAAAACTGAAAGTAACATATCTTTGAACATCTGAAGGTTAGGGTAAAGTCTTTTTGTTTTCATGTAATTTATCCTTATTTACATTGAAATACATTACGTTTCAGCAAAACTACTATTTATTTCTGAGAATATGGAAATGTAATAACTTTGCTGAAATGACGTACGTATTACAGTGGAAAGTGACGAAAGAAATGACTTTTGCTTTCTTTCGTTGAAAAGATGTTACCGTAATCGCTTTTCGAATGGTTTTCAGTTAAAAAACTGTTGCATTACAATAATATTCTATCCGAATTCACTTGTGATGCAACAGTTTTTAACTGAAAATCATTCGAAAAGCGATTACGGTAACATCTTTTCAACGAAAGAAAGCAAAAGTCATTGTTTCCTTCACGATTTTATCCCACTTTCCACTGTAATACGTACATCATTTCAGCAAAAATATTACATTTCCTTGAATGTAGTATATCAAGCACAGTATGAATAGAATATCATTGTAATATACAGTAACAGTATTTTAACCGAAAACTTAAAAAAACGAGTAACATCTCTTGAACATCGGAAGGTTAGGTAAAGTCTTGTTTTCGTCATGTATTTTATCCTATTTTACATTGAAATACATCACGTTTCAGCAAAACTACTATTTATTTCTGAGAATATATTCATTCAGGTGCAGTTTAGGTAAAATATACATGTGATGTAACAGTTTTTTATCTGAAAACGATTCGAAAAACACGTACCCTCTAGCCCTGTTCAAGGAGAAGACTGGGAGGAACTGTTTGGTGCTGAAGACGATGACAAGGAAAATGATTTTGATGGATTTTAATGAAAATATTCAGAAATATGGTATCGTAGTATTTATTCAAGTGAATTAGGATAGAATATTATTGTAATACAACAGTAGTGACGATTTGGAGGAGGCGGGGGGGGGGGAGTGGTGACGCTGGAGGCGGGAGGAGGGACGAGTGGATATGCCAGCCAGTACATTACGGGTGTACAGTATTAATTGTTTTTATAGCTCTTTTTGCATTTTAATAATAAATACTGTACATTACATTTCAACAAAACTACTATTTATTTCTGAGAATATGCAAATGTAATATTTTTGCTGAAATGATGTACGTATTACAGTGGAAAGTGGGATAAAATTGTGATGAAAGCAATGACTTTCGCCTTTCGTTCAAAAGATGTTACCGTAATCGCTTCTCAAATGGTTTTCAGTTGTGGGATTATGAGGGTAATGATAGGATAGAATATTATTGTAATACAGTACAACAGTTTTTTAACTGAAAACCATTCGAAAAGCGATTACGGTAAAATCTTTTGAACAACGAAAGAAAGCGAAAGTCATTGTTTTCGTCATGATTTTATCCCACTTTCCACTGTAATATGTACGTCATTTCAGCCAAAATATTACATTTCCATATTTATTTCTGAGAATATGTTCATTCAGTCACAGTTAAGGTAAAATATACTTGTGATGTAATATTTTAATGAAAATACGGTATCGTAGTTTTCTTTTGTTTCAATTTAATTAACAAAAATTGATGTTTCAAATGTAATGAACAAAAATCTATGTACAGTATCTATAAATAAACTTTAAAAAATGAATACTTTATGTTTTACATCGTCCTGTGCATACCATACCATGCATTTGGCTACTTTGGGCTT